AAATCGGCAATTTCATACTTTAACCCCTATTATTATTGTATAAAAGATTTTTTTACCTACTGTTAGTACTTGTAATAATAGGTAAAAAATTTTTTTATGAAAACCTATGGAATAATATATCGGGTTTTTCATGCTCTTCTAAAATTACTTGACATTATTTAAGCGGTGTTGTTTGCTAAGTGACGATATTGAATTATATAGGTACACAGAACAGTTTGTGTTTCCATTGTATTCATACAACAATTTCTATAAAATTTTCTATATGTATTAAATAATATTTTTTTGCACACCTCTCCCCTTAGCAAACTGATGTGTTTGTGGGATGTAAGAAATCAAAAGTTTGTAATACTTGAAGCCTTTCTCTCAACTTTACATTAAGTGTGAAATGTAACCACATTTTCACTTTGACCAGGTTTTGGAGTTGAATGCATCTGATGACAGAGGTATTGGCATAGTGCGAGGACAAATCCTCAGCTTTGCATCAACTAGGACAATCTTCAAGGCGGGACCCAAGCTGATTATTCTGGATGAAGCTGATGCCATGACTAATGATGCTCAGAATGCTCTTAGGAGAAGTAAGTTTAAATTTTCATTTTCTATTATTAAGGCTCTAACAAGTGAATCCTAATTTCCGAAAACCATTAAACAATGCATGCTTCTGCATACTGTTGTATATATGTAGCTGACTGCCCTGACTGAAGCTCATTATATTATGATCCCCCACCTACTATACATAATACATCATACTATTTTAAAGCTACCAGCACAATGAATGTACTAATTAATATTGGGCATTATGAACATCTACAATCAATTTTGAATCATATTGATAACATGATTACAATTTCCTGTTTATTATTTAGACTCTTATCTATAATCACTGATCAGTCCTTAAACACTTAACAGGTCCATGGCCATGATACAGTCTTAATTTGGTTTGGAATAAATACTCCAGTGACGCTTTTTTTCATATGTTATTATTTAGATGATAGTGTTCGACTGATCTAATAGACTAGCAGTAGAGCTCCTTGTGAAAGAGTTGTTCCAAGTAACTACTGCCACCTTACCTTTTTTTACCGCCAAGCAATAATGTGAGCATTACTATGTTTCGATTTTGAAGAGTAAGGATGCTGATGAAATCACAGGCACATGGGATTTGCCAACTTACGTCACAGGGTGACAGGCGCAATGGCAGTGTCTTCAAATCTTTGCGATTTAAAGCTCTGAGTGGCATTGCAACTGCTATGGACAGGTGTATCGCCTACCACCAGGTGCACGACTTGTTCATCCTGTCACTTGGTATCATTAAAGGAAAAAGACTGACTTCAGACAACCCAGGCTTCCCAGTAGCTCATTGTCATTCAAGGACCTTACCTACACATTCATACACAATTTTGTCTTATACTTTTGTGTATGTGTCTGTATCTCCTGTAGGGCTAGCACTTCAGGGCGCGACTTGCCCAAAAGCGCAAGATCTCTATGCGAGAATAGCAGTATCTCGCGCTTTATATCGTTCTCGCGCAAGTCGCGCCCTGTCTTGCTAGCCCTATTGTTTGACAGTTGATACTTCAAGATAGTCATATATTTCTTGGGCTGTTACAAACCAGGGTGAATGGTCTATGGGTCTTTAGCACAATATTGGAAACACTGCAGAATCTCCACAATAGAGGTGGAAGGCTCGTGAAGCACCACATCTCCAAAGCATTTGTCTATATAAATGATTATCACTAATATCAGGTTTCTTACCACGATATGACTTATTTTTATTTTCCCAATATTTCGGAACGGTTGCACGCTCCATGGTCACGGGTTGACTGGATAAAATAGCCAGGTTGCTAAGGAAGTTTTCCATAAAAACTGTTTTCACCCCTTAACCAAAATAGGAAAAATGTTACGTTCACCAAAAGACCACCTTCCTTTACAAACACCGGGTGTCTATAAAGTGAACTGCAGTTCTGGGAGCTCGTATATCGATCAGACTAAACGATCAATTGTCGATCGTATGAAGGAACACATCCGGGCAGTAAAAAATAATGATGCACAGAAGTCGACTACAGCACAATATCTCCCACAGACAGACACTAACCAATGGATCGAGTTGCATAGCCCCCAGGTACTCTCGATAGCACGTCACTACATACCAGTGTTGGGCAAAATTTAATTGTTCTGGCAATTAAAGATTGACAATTGATTAATTGTCAATTGCGAAACAGCAATTAACGATTGATCAATTGTTAGTTGCGAGAACCGCAATTAACAATTAATCAATTGGGGGGTCGGTTGGGGGCCCCGGTTTGGGGCCCCGGTTGGGGCCCCGGTTTGAGGCCCCGGTTGGGGCCCCGGTTTGGGGCCCTGGTTGGGGGGCCCGGTTGGGGTCCCCGGTTGGGGGGCCCGGTTAGGGTTTAGTTCGGGGGCCAGTTAAGGGGCCTGATGGTTCCGAACCGGGCCCCCCAACCGGGCCCCCAACCGGCCCCTCAACCGGGCCTCCAACCGGGGACCCCAACCGGCCGGAATTGATTTTAATTGATTTTAATTGCAATTAAAATCAATTGATTTTTTAATCTGATTGAATTATTGATTGAAATTTAATTGATTAACGCCCAACACTGCTACATACCACGGTTGGCACGAGAAGCCATCGAGATCACGAAGTACAAAACATTTAACCGTCATGATGGTTTTAAACTGTCCAGTGCATATCCGGTCCTTAGTGCGTGCAGCAATAAAAACAAAAACGCATCGAGTTCAGTTTCGCGTGTGGATACAGTGAGTGTGGTTTGTGTGAAAAAAGTGAGTGACAATGGTAGCACCACAACAAATCGCGATGAAGGTAGTCGTCGACAGCGCAAGAGAGTAGACAGATGTATCTGCTCTTAAAGCTGTCATCTGCCGCCGTCCAGTCAACTCGTGACCATGGGGCATGCAACCGTTCCGAAATATCGGGAAAATAAAAAGAAGTCATACCGTGGTAAGAAACCTGGTATTAGTGATAATCATTTGGTGAATAACCACGAGTCGTAAAATCTATATTTGTCTATATAGGTTTTAAAATGGACATAAGATTAATCATCAAAATGTTGTTCTCAACTAATAATCTATTATCCACAGCATAGCTCCTTGATTCTAAATTATTCTAAATGACAAACGTTAATTTTAATGCCTAAATCAACTCAGCTTCTAAAAAGTACCATCATAAATGCAAATTTGTAAAGTTTTGGGAAGGTATGGGGTGGTTAGAAGACTAGGCTAGTAATACCTGCTATGTGCATATATGTATAATATTTAGTAACACACTACATACATTATGCAGTAATGTATATGCACAACAATTACGTTAGTATAATCACTTCATTCTATTCAATTACTTTAAATAATTTTGACTTCTGTTTTCAAATGAATTTATTAACTGCCACCGTGGCCTAACGGTTAACATGGACTGCCACGCAGAGGTCCCAGGTTCGATTCCCGGGGTGGGAGAAATGTTTGTATGGCCTACATTTATTTCTCTCGTGAGTTTGAGTGTAATTTGTGGTTGTCTATGTATATGTCCATGGCACCCGCGACACAGGATTGTTATTATTATTATTATAAAAATTATTAGTGTACTGTGTTAGCTGGACTGCTAGTCAAGGAAACCCATACCTAGTAGTGGGATATGTGAAGGGGATAATAATATTAGAAATGTCTATTTTTTCGGTGGGCTAAAGAAAGAACTTGATAATAATAGACAATAACTTCACTATAAGTCATAAAATAATCCAATTACTTAAAGCTATTTCACGTGTTGTGTGACTCAGAGGTATCCATAGAAACTGATGTATTGAAATACCACAACAAACTTTACTGTTGCCTCTTTCCCATTCGATTTATAATTTATTGTTTCAATCTTAAATTAATAGGACTTTTTACAAATTAACTGTAATAAATACAATTTAAAAAAGATTTAATCTATTGAATTCGTAAATATTAAATGAAAACAACTTTCTAAAATTAAAATTATAAAGTATACAACAACGCATTACAAAAATAATATAATAATATTTCTGTGATCCCTAACTCGTAAACTGTTTCCAATATCGTTTAAATGAGTTTAAAAAGTTTCAAACAATTTAAAGTATCATGTCAGACAGTGAAGACGAAGTACAGAGTAGGACAGTTAAAATTACTGTTGTTGGAGAACCTTCCACTGGAAAAGTGAGTAAAAGATTTTATTTGTAACTTTTAATTGTAATCTTCTAATATTTCTTAACCATGTATATTGTATAACTAGATTGCAAGCCTATGTTCTGTACGTACCACAAAATGAGAGAAGTCTACCGCTACTGTTGTATCATTCATTTACAAAAAAAAAACTCTTAGAAAGTCGCATACGATTTCAGACGAGTCTCTGTTTGCGCTACCTCGGCGGGACGTACGGTGCGGCGCCGGGCGGCACGCAAGGCGCCGAGGTGATGGCTGGCCAGTGTTTAGGGTTACGTCCACCTGTACCTCTGCAGTTTTGCGACGTCTCTGGTAACGCACTCGGTACAAACATGCTCGCTAATTACTTGTATGCTTCTGATGTAAGTGGAAATTTTTATGATTGTCCCTACAAAACCAAACTATTTATTTATTTTATATTTAATATATAGTATTTGTATATATTTATGTAATATTTATTTTGTATTCAAGACATATATGTATAGGCGCGGTGCGTGGTACGCACTCGTCCCGCTTGCGCTTATGAGCTTTTGTAGATTGCGTACGTTTTTTAAATAGCTGTGTGGTGCCATATCCCCATACTTTGGTACTGAGTGATTCTAAAAGAAATAACACCTATGTTTTCACCAAAGATCATAATGTTAAAATTTATATGGTGATTAAAAAATCTTGTATGTATATCTGACTGTCCTCGCTTACCAGTCCTCTGTTAATGAAGACCTTTTAGTATCTTATCTTGATTATCTGTATGTATGTGCTATGAATTATAACAATAGTTTGGTTCGTAAAAGAAAATCTTTCTCTGATATTCTGAAGTCTGCTAGAACAAATCAATACCAGGTGCCCATATTGGATGTTTTCGTGACTAAAATGTGTTCAGACATCATGCTTGAACTAAGCCTGATTTTTTTCAATAGCATTGCGTGTACATGTTCTTGATATTGTAGAGATTGGTAACGATTTATGTGTTTAAACACGCGACCTTCGGTAATGATCAGTTCGCTAACTGATATTAACTTCTTAAATTTTTTTGCACTTAAGTACTTATAAATGATATGTTTCAGGTTGTCGTGTTTGTTTATGACCTTACGAATCTTCAAAGTTTTGAAAGACTGCATATGTGGTTTGAAAAAGTCAAAGATGTATGTGAATCAGAAGTTAAGAAACCATTGATGGTGTTATTTGGAAACAAGTCAGATTTGGAACACCAGCGAGCCGTTAGATTATCTGTGGTGCAGCAGTTTGCTTCAGAACATTTGTTAGAAAATCACAAGGGTTCAGCTAGAACTGGTGACATGGTAAGAACTAAAGACTATTATCACCTGAATGAATCCTTTTTCAACATGGTGTTTTTGAGAATCAAAATCACAATATTAATAGATTCAGGCGTTATTTTGCGGAAATCCATGTTAATAAAAATGGAAGTAAATTAATTAACTATTCTACGAACCTAGTGAAATTGAAGACTTAACTTCAACTTTTCAACGAGTTCTCGGAATAGCAAATTTACTTAAATTTTTTGAACCAAAATCATAGATACAATGACTATACTTCTTTTTTTAACATTAGATAGAAATAAATTTTGGGTTTTTTTGTCTGGCGCCATTTCATTCTCATTTTGTAAGCAAAGGAATTTATACGTACCGTGAAACGAAATTTCCTAACATATTCAATAAATTTAAGTAATTTTAATTATTATGTTCCCTGTACTCGTAGTATTAATTAAATATTCAATTTAAACTTTCTATCTTTACATACTTAATGTATTTCAAACACTTGCACTATAAAATACTTAACGAAACAAGTTACAAACATTAAACGGAAACATTTTATGAAATAATAAGCATATTATTACAGTATGTCGTCAATTTTCATATTTTCACTCTGATTTGTTGTCTGAAGAAAAAGGTTTACGATCCTGTTTCTTGGTTTGCATTTTTTCTTATTCTAAAAAACGAAGTATAGTCGTAACAATATTTTACAATTTCCAGGTAAACAACGCATTCACCAACTTCGTAGCTCGCGTATTAGGGGTCAAAGTACGTCGGATGCCCGCAGCCACAAACGGAAAGTCGCCAGTGTCGAAGGACCCCGCCCTCAATGGGCACATGTCATATCCTTTGCAAACTGAACCCACGCAATCACTTATTATGAATAGAAAAGCACTACGAAAACTACAGAGGAAAGCCTCGTCATCAGTTTGTTGTATTCAATAAAGTATATATATGGTTTCTTTACGAATTGACTTTTATTTCTCATTAACTTTAATAGAAATGGTGGAGTGTAAAGTATATTTAGACACTCCTCAATGTAGGTTATCATTATTATGCGATGATGTTTATATGATACCTAAATAATGTACACATTTGCTATACTTAACTACTTTTACTTACCTGATATAAAAAGCTATCACAAACTCCGATAACTGCGCTTTTCTAAATGCAAATAGTAAACAATTTGACTGTACCAAACCCCATCTTTTTTGTTAGATTAAGATAATTGCTGCTTGGCATAACGTCGCCTATTGTTTTATATATTTGTTAGTAAAGTGTATAGGATTTTATTGAACGTTATACCTTGCAGTAATCGAGAAATACACGGAGAATGTACGGTTCTGCATAATATGCAACTACCTGGGCAAAATCATCCCGGCGCTACAGTCACGCTGCACGCGTTTCCGTTTCGCGCCGCTGCAGCAGGCTCAGATCGTGCCAAGGCTACAGGACATCGCCAAAGCTGAAGGGTCAGTATTACAACGTTATCATCTTGTTTACGTAATTAGATGCTAAATTCATCATTTATCATGGGATGTACCTCAATACTTTATATTTTTCTTGTCAGTATGCTCTTGTAACTAGAGTTACCATTGTGTAATTTGAATAATCCGGGCAAAAAGCCTGAAATTTAGAAGAAAGTTTGGACTTTTTAGTAACTAAATAAAGTCGTAACAAGCGCCCAACAGCAAGGCAACAATTTTTTTTGTCGTAAATCGAGTTTTAGTACAGTATTGTTATGATATTTTACTTTTTTTCTGAAAATTGTTGCCCTAAGCCGAAAACTCCAGACAAATGAGAAATTCTGCCCAGAAGGTCACAAAGCCAGATATGTCCGGGCAAACCTCGACGGATGGTGACACTACTCGCAACTGACTTGTCAAATCGATACCTCCAATGAACACTGATCTGTTTTTATTTTTTGTTTCTTTTTAGCCGACTTCAAAAAAAGGAGGAGGTTCTCAATTCGACTATACGTTTTTTTTTTTGTATGTATGTTACACGATAACTCCGGTATTTGTGAACCGATTTTGATGATTCTTTTTTGTTTGAAAGACGGTACCTCCAAAGTGGTCCCATTTCATTTTGAAGAAAATAATCCCCCTCTAAGGGTGGCTGATCACGCATAAACATTCATTTTTACAAATAGCGCCTGAATTTTACTTAAGGAGCAATTATTTTAATGGTTGGCAAAACCAACAATTCACAACAATTCTTCAATTCAAGGCGTTTTTCTCGCAATATATTTTGAGTATGAAAACCGATTTTTATTATCTCCTGTGTCAAGTCCCGTATAGTGGCGAACTAGGGGATATTTTCCTCGTACTTTTGACGTCGGTTTTTTTTATTTTCATAAAATTTCGTTGCTTTATTTTTTACGAATTTTCTTTTTTGTTTCTTTTTTCACACAAAATTCGGGGAGCATAATATTAGTAAATAAATAAGGTCGTTTACAAAAGTAACGGAAAATGACAAAAAAATAAAGTTGGCGTAGTGTTTACTGACTTCACGTTTCTGAATTTTACTGTGTAAGTAACATTTATTTTTTTACAGAGTTACAATGACCGAAGACGGTTTAAAAGCGCTGCTACAACTCTCGGGCGGTGACATGCGCAAAGTGCTAAACACGCTACAGAGCACATGGCTAGCATATCGTGACGTTACCGAGGACAATGTTTACACTTGTGTGGGACACCCTCTGCGGACCGATATTAATAGCATCGTTCATTGGCTTCTTAATGAGAACGATTTCGCTGCCTGCTTTAAAAGTATCCTTTGCAAAAAGATAATAAAGAAATAATGGATAATTCGGGAACAGCCTCTGCAATTAACTGGTACACTGTTAGGGCATATCCATAACTTAAGCCATGACATTACGTATTCATCTTTTGGTATGCGTTAACCGCTCAGACGTATTGACGCATTAGGCCAGAAACGCAAAATGCCAAACGGTCAAAGTGTCAGATTCGCAGAATGCCAGATTCGCAGAATGCCAGATTAGCAAAATGCCAGATTCTCAAAATACCAAATGTCACTGCTAGGAACAGGCCTTCCTCCTCCTGACGCACGTATTAATGTTCACTAGTGGACGTCATTCGGCTGAAATAATGATGATAATGAAGCGAGATTCTGATGGTTTATTAATTTTTAAAAACAAAATGTGGTTTCCTTTAACTAGTAAATAACTGATCTTTCTATCTTAAAGAAACTTGCTAACTTTACAGCTTCAATTAGGTACCTATTACTAACTTAAACCTCCTTTTTTTTTTCTTTTCTTTTTTTGACGGGGGGGAAATCTTTATGGATACCCCTGAGCCCAGGGAGACTCAGGGGTTATGTGGGGACTCTCCCTCCAGACTTGAGGGGCTACCCCACTAAAACCCCCCCGGGTTTCCCTCTCGCCGGTTGAGTCGGCGCCGTGGGATCAGTGAACATTCACCACGACGAACTTAAACCTCTTTTTTTTTTTTTTTTTTAATTAAAAATGGACGTACTCTTGACGACTACCTAGCCCTAGAGCAAAGATGAGGTCTACGTTGGTACGAGCTCGCCCAGAAGATGCCTATTCAATCGCACCTTGAAAATATTCGGGTTGTATGTACTCGGAAAAATAGACGCAGGCAGGGAATTCCAGTCACGGGCTGTGCGCATTATAAAAGATGACGAAAAGCGCTTAGTACGTCTTAAAGGAATATCAACCAGGTGAGGGTGATATCCCGCCGTTCGTCTAGATGTCCGATGGTAAAAGGGGGCGGATGGAATGAGCTGGTGGAGCTCATGGGCACACTCTCCGAAGTATAATCTGTAAAAAACCGACAGACCCGCGACCTTTCGCCGATGGGCTAAACTATGAAGTTTATATTCGAGCTCATCGTCGCCAATAAGCCTCCTGGCTCTGCGATCAATCGAGTCAAGAGCCTCTAGTTGGTATTTCGCTGAGCCATCCCACAGGTGACTGCAATACTCCATGCAAGACCGGACCTGCGCTTTATATAAGGTTAAAAGCTGTCCAGGCGAGAAGTATCGCTTCACCTTGTTAAGGATACCCAGCTTCTTGGCTGCAGTTTGCGCTTTAGACTCTATAGAAGCGCCAAAGTTGAGGTTTGCGCTTAATGTCATGCCAAGAAGCTCTAGGCGGTCGGTAACTGGGACAGATACACCCCGAAAAGTAGGAGTCAGATCAAATGGACTCCTTTTTGCGGAAAAAAGACAGGCCTGCGTTTTGGTGGCGTTGAAGCTGACCAGATTGTTGTCACCCCACTGGGCAACAAGGCTTAAGGTCAGGTTCGTTCGCTCTACCATAGCCTCTCTCAGCGAACGAATATCTTCCCTGCCGTCTCTTGCGCTAGACAGATATCTCTCGGTAACTGTACTGTCATCTGCATACCCAACTATACCCGGGACCAATAGGTCATTGATGTGTAGCAGGAAAAGAGTCGCCGAGAGAACAGACCCTTGAGGAACTCCAGCATCAATAGCCATCAAGTCAGATGAGCAGCCTTCAATGACTACTCGAATCGACCGTTCCCCAAGGAAATCTGATATCTAGCTGCAAAAGTCGGCAGGGATGCCGTAAGCAGGAAGCTTGCTCAGCAAACTTGCATGCCAAACCCTGTCGAAGGCCTTTGAGATATCGAGCGATACGGCCAGTGCCTCACCGTGTTTCTCGATGGCCTCGCCCCAGCAATGCGTAACATACACGAGAAGATCCCCAGTTGATCGTCCCCGGCGGAAGCCATATTGACGATCACTGAGTAGGTCATTTATTTCAAGGTATGATAGCAGCTTACCGTTCAGAACTCTTTCCATAACCTTGCAGAGTATGGAAGTTATGGCGATTGGTCTGTAATTACAGGGGTCGGCGCGGCTTCCCTTTTTAGGGACTGGTTGCACATTTGCAAGCTTCCATGATTTAGGCACTATTCTCGTTTTTAGTGAGAGGCGGTACAGATACGTCAGTACAGGAGTTAGCTCAGGCGCGCAAAGCCTCAGTACCCGTGCTGGTATACCATCAGGACCACTGGCCTTATTCACATCTAGACTTCGCAGAGCTCTACGAACCTCTTTTGCGTGGATTGTGACCTCCGGCATTGAAGTGTCACAACGAGGTAAATTTGGTGGATGTTTTGAGCCTGCAACTAGATGCGAATTGCTTGCAAACATTGCAGCAAATAAGTTTGCTTTATCCGTTGCAGAGTGAGCCAGTGATCCGTCAGGTTTTTGCATGGGAGGCAAGGTGGGACGGCAGAAGTTGGATTCAACTGCTTTGGACAGGGACCAGAACTGCTTGCTACCAGGAGGGTAGGATGCAAGCCTGGTCCCGATCCTGCTGATATGGTTGAATCTAGCCTTCCGGAATTCGCCTTTGCAGGACTTGGCGGCAGAATTAAAAGCTCTCTTTCTCGCGCGAACCCTCCGGGCTCGAACTTTGCGGTCGCGAGCTTGTACCCATGCTTGGTAAGCAGACTGCTTACGGGCCTCAGCACGTGCGCAGTCCACGTTATACCAAGGTCGGGCTTTGTGACCCAGTGGAATGTCGGAGAATGGAATAAAGTACTCTATTCCCTGCCGGATTACATCTGCAATCGCATCAGCAGAACACGAGGGATCACCCGAGGAAAAGCAGACTTGCCGCCAAGGATAAGACGCAAAGAAGTGCCGCATCTCATCCCAATCTGCTGACTCGTATCGCCATACTCTTCTTGTACCTCTTGGACAGTCATCAGGAGGAGAGTAAGTCGACACGGATTTCACCACACAGTGGTCGGATGTTCCCAGCGGTGCCGAGATCGAAACCGAGGGACCGTGTGGATCTGTTGTCAACAGAAGGTCCAAACAATTGGCTGCATGTCCGTCAACATCCCGTACCCGCGTTGCTTGGCTTACCAGCTGGGTGAGATTTAGCGATAATGCAAATTTGCGCGCCTCCCTCCCAGCATGGTCTGTTTTTACGTACGGAAACAGCCACTCACTGTGGTGAGCATTAAAGTCCCCGAGAAAAATAAGCTCTGCTGAAGGGTACCGTTGTAGGGCTTTATCTGCCATCTCAGTTAGGTGGACGAAGAGCTTAGTTGTCTCCTGGTCACCACTGTGCGATCTGTAGACACAGATATAGAGATATTTCTCCATTCCTGTGTCCACCAGAATCCATACATGTGAAAACCCGTTACTTTCAAAGCAACGGAGACGCCGATAGCAAATGTCGTCACGTACGTA